ATTCGTTCCTCCCACTCGGAGGGTTAAGCCGGCCGATATCTCGACGTTCGCCAGCGTTATCCGTCCCACGCTCTCGCGCACACACGTACTCTCGCGAACGCGTATCAATTAACACGCGCCACGACGAATCGTGCGTACGACGTGCGCAATCGCGGACACTGGTCGGCTATGTATACGCACGTCTCACACGCGCGTACGAGTCACCCACGCGCCTGCATACACACACACACACACACACACACACACACGCGCGCGCGCGCGCGTTAACGCATGGCCGCGAATTTTTGCCGCACCGCCGCCGGTAGCATCGGCTAATTTTACCACGCGAATCGCGCATGCAAGAGGAACGCTGTAATCTCGCAATTTATGCGGCGAAAATGTACCTTCTATCGGCTCGATCAATTTCCCCTATCGCGATCTTACAATTTCTTCCAGATTCTTCTGTGAAGAATTTGTATAAGAATAAAAAAATTATTCCGAATTTTATTAATTTGATTGTAGTTAAAGCTATCAGTTTTAGAATTATAATGAGTAATTGAGAACGTAAAGTGATAGAAATATGATAGGAAATATATACAGAATATTTCTTTTTTTTTTTAATACAATTCTGACATACATTCTTTTATGTAAAGAATAGTAATAATTACATAATAACTATGTATATATTAATTGATACATTAAGATTTTTATGCAAATCTAATTTAAACTTGGTATTTTAAAACGACATTTTGATTGTAAACAAGAAATTATAGGACGAAGCACAGCCAACGAAAAGATATATCTTATTCGACATCTTGCCAAGTTTAAGATTGAGAAAAATTATTTATGTCGTAGTACGCTCGCATAAGACAATATAAATTGCAGATAAATTGCTATCATTTTTATTATTGTATTTTTTGTTATTAATTTTATGTTTGATTATAAGATTTGATTAAATTTAATACTCGCAATATAAAAATCATTGACATTTGATAAATTGCTTTTGTATAATTAAAAGTACAATCGTTTCATATATGTATATATATAATTATTATTTTCTAATCATGCAAGATATATTTGATAATTTTGCGTATTTTATTTCTATGTTTGTTAAAAGATGGGACTGTAGCCTATCTTTTCGTTGGATCAGAGTGTAAAATTTAATTTTATGCAATGCCCAGACAATGCGATAAGACCTGTATAATTCTACTGTCACTCCATGTCTATTTCAAAGACAAATTTACATCGGACGCGAAGAAAAACGCGACGAACGGCCATTCGCGATGCTCTCGCGTCGCGAACTGCGCGTGCATTATTGTTCGTAAACGGATTGACCCAAAGAAAACCTCTGAAATGACATAAATAACGGCGGCGTGTGGGCCGTATCGACTTATGTAACAATACGCGCCGTCGCGGCCACCGCGAACCTCCGCAGAAAAATCACGCAGGAAAATTAAGTACACGCGGCGCAGAGAGGAAACAATCACGCCTGTAGCGTGGAATCGTTAAAAATCTGGAAATCGCCTGGGAACCGGAGAAAGTCGAGAAATGTGTCTCAAGTCTGTCTGTGTGATAATTTAAAATAAGATGTCGGTCGTATGGTTATCGCTGAATTTTTTCTAAGGAATTTTACAGAGAGAAAAATATCATATGCGAATGACTTGTGACATTTTGTGTATTTTTATACAGCTTATCTAAAACTCTCTCTTTCTAAAACTGAAAACAATCTTTAACTTCACTCTAGTTGATCTAATATGAATACATTTCTCCTTTTTTTAAACGCACGTTTATAAAACTAGTCTTTTAAAGAAACATTTTAATTTGGAAAATGTAGTGAGATATTTAGATTCTCTCTCCTCAACAGTAAGAGAAAATTTCAATGTCCGTCCGATATAAACGTCGACATCGACGACGAAATGGTTGCCATTGGCAGGGCGCCGAGCGCCTGAGAGATAAACATCATCAAATATCTTCATATCGATTTCGATTTTATATTGATAATACATAATTACAAATATAGGCTGTCAGAAGGATTCTTTTACGACAAGCCATCAGATTATTTCGCGCTGAAATCATGCCTCGCGATTTGTCTCTGTCAATTACTTTCGATCAATCAAGTGATTCTCAAATATATGTATAAAGAAAAGAAATATTAGAAGGTAAATAGATTGAAATTTTTGTTTATATTGGAGGAAATTTCAATCATAGCGCACGAGATTTTTTTCGAAGTTCGTACGTGATTACAAGTATTCGAAAAAATATTATTATTTTCAAACACTGAATTAGTACCAAATAGTGAAATTAATAGAATGAAGTAGAATAATATAGAAATCATACTGACAATAATTAGAGACGTGTCGATAAACAGCGAAGAGGTTACGCGTAACAATTTAAATGAGAATAAACACCTGACGACGTACTTAGGATTGTGCGCCACTATACGGCTGCACTCCGTTCACTCCGCGAGCGTCCATAGATATGTACATCCACTTTGGGTTCTTAACTTTCGCTATTAAGCGATTTCGCTGAAACCGGTACTTGTGAGCAAAGTTTGTAAAGCGCGGCGAGGGAGAACCCGCCAGACTGCGGTGTTTATTGCGCGGAAAAAGAGCGGGAAGCCGCAGCGGCGTTTCGTGGCGTGCGCGTTCACATCTTCACCGGATTAAATCAGCCGATTTCTGTATTTGCGAACGATAAACCGCTTGGGCGCGCGCGCGCGCGCGCGCACGAGTGATGCAACGTTTGTTTTTTTCTCTCTTTTTTTTTAAATATATTTAATACGGCAATGTATCCTGCGATCGATGCGTAACGTGTTTTATGCTCAGCGTTTACATACTCGAGAACAGCTATATCGGATGTAACCGCGTGGCGCGGTGATTATTACGGGAAAGTGTGTTAACTGCAGGCTTAGGCTCGGCAAAGCAAATCATTTTTAACATTGTTTCCCTCGCGTTTGTTTTTGATAATGTATACATAATCTTGATAATAATACTTTATTCCAAACAGGGGGAAATTGCAAATAATATTATTCCCCCATACGTTTAACGTTATTATTATTTACATTGCTATAAATTATATAATTGTTATTACATGTGTTATATATGAATTCTATATTTCTGTATATTTACATTAAATTATTATTACAGATTTGTATTATAAATAGTAATTATGGACTTTGCAATTTATAAACGGGGATGTTATTTCAAACTCGTCGTAAATAAATTCATCTCACGGGGATGATATGAAATATGAATAGAAAGCGTTAAGCTCGTAAACATATCAATCGATACTTCATGACAAGACCGTCGTTACATCTTTAATGAAAATTACTCGATGCACAAGTTGGCAAATACAGTTTACCCGCGCTTAACGGACCTCTAGCGCTTCCGGCGAAAAAAAAAGTTTCGAAGGTTCCGGTAACAACCGACGTTATAGCCGTAAAACGATGAAATCAATGCGTAACGACCGTGCCGACGCTATATTTAGCCGGCGAGAGTACAGGTAATTCCTATAACCGTCCCGGCGCATTGACAGGTGCAATTTATCTGAAGCCTGAATGCGCGCCGTGCGCGAGCCTCTGTTTTAAAACGCTTGAAAACTGATTATTCGCGCTTCGACATCGCTTCCCACCAATTCGCGATACAGTAACCTCGCGCAGACGTGCAACGTAATTGGCCGAGCGATATAAAGCGGCGTCAAAGTATAAAGGAGATATCCGCTTGATCTCCCAGCTGTCGATTTTCCACCATTCAGAACATTCAGTCCTCTCGTCCTTACGTAATAAGCATGGATCAGTATAGAAATTTTTCCTTTAACTAAATCTCAAATTATAATTTTATAAAGGAAAAATCAACTTTGGGGAATTTAAGCGGCTATTAAGAATTTTATTACTTGAAATTTTACCATCGAACAATTAACTTATATCAAACTTGTTTAATATTAATTGTTTATAACACATAAACTAGGCTGTGCTTCGATAAAATTTCAATGAAGAAGTCAAGGCTTAGAATTTTCTTGAAATAATCGGACAGAGTTTCGGAGCACCGTATACATGACGGAGATTCTGTCATGCACCGCCGTAATATCGCGGCAGCCAAACGAATCACGCGAGTATCGTGCGGCGGTACGTACACGCCATCGCGCATATATCCGCGGATATATCACGCGAATGCACGTTTTACGCGAATAACGCTTCGGCATAATTATGTGTATGCGTGTCGCTCGCCGGGCTGCGCACATGTCCGCGACACGTGCGTGCGCGCCGTTTCACGCATTAGGCAGCGGCAATAAATAAAGTCGAACGCGAGAGAAGGAATAATAAAAGATAAGCCCTTATCGGTCAGCTGATATCGGCCGTGCATCTCCGGATGTGTTTGGATGCGCCGATAGCCGAGTGTGCTTATGCATTCGCAAAAGTGTGTTCGTGTGACGCACGTGCGTCAATGTGCTGGAAAACAGACACGTTCTTCGAATTATACACCGCGATTACGCGTTAAAAAATTGTATTATTCACACCGCTCGCACGCACCTTTCATCGAATCGTTAAATGTAAAGTGTTTCGCGTCGCGATTATTCCTTGCGGAAAATGATTTTTACTCGAGAAAAAAAGGTGTCGAAATATGAATAATTTTTATTGTAATCAAATAAGAGCTTTAACTTGAGAGCCTTGTAGAATTACATAGATAACGAAATTTAATTTTTTAATACAATCTTTTTAAATGAACTTTAAGAAAAGTCTACCTAAAAAGACTAATCAATCTCTCTTAATTACCGACGTATGTATGAGTAATTTCAATAAAATTTAAAAACTAAAGAAAAAAGATGTAATATTGAATTTTGATGCAGAGCAAAAGGTAGAGATCATTTCATTTTCCTCGGAAAACGCGCGGAATATCTCGTTCTATTATGTAAACCATGCAGTCGGAGGAATCGTGATACCTGGGCCACGTAACGCGATACGTTGTTAGGGAAACGCTACTTATGGCCGCGAGCATCGGAGGGTACAAGTATTTCTTATATAGCAGGGTTGCGGGGTGCAGTTCAGACATGGGAAGTGAGCATTACTGCCTGAGGTGGAACAATCATCAGAGCAACTTGCTGGGTGTGTTCAGTCAACTGCTGGAGTCGGAGTCGTTGGTGGACGTGACACTGGCGTGCACGGAGGGACCGTCGATACGCGCACACAAGGTAGTCCTCTCCGCGTGCTCCAGCTACTTCCAGGCCCTGTTCCTCGACCACCCGAACCGTCACCCCATCGTTATCCTAAAGGACGTACGTTTCGCCGAGCTACGTACCCTCGTCGACTTCATGTACAAAGGCGAGGTAAACGTCGAGTACTGCCAGCTATCGGCCCTCCTCAAGACAGCGGAGAGCCTCAAGGTTAAGGGTCTAGCGGACATGACGAACATCAACGCAGCGGTAGCGTCCAGGGAAGAACAGCAGCAGCAACAGCAGCAGCAGCAGCAGCAACAACAGCAGCAACAGCAACAGCAGCAGCAGCAGCAACAACACACAAGCACCTCCGACACGTCGCGGGAGCATCATCGAGAACGAGAACGAGAGCGAGACCGAGACCGAGACCGAGAACGAGAACGAGACCGAGACCGAGACCGAGAACGAGAACGAGAACGAGAACGAGAACGAGAACGAGAACGCGATCGAGAGAGTATAAAAGAAACGAGTGGCAAAGAGAGAGAACGAGAGTCGAACATCACCACTGGAGTTTCGGTCGGTGCCAAGGAATGCGAGCAACAGCAGCAACAGCAACAGCAGCAGCAGCAATCCAGCAGCATCGTTCAAAGCACCCCCAGCGAAAGCGCGGAGGCGGTGGACATGACGGATTGTCCACCGTCGCCCGCGGGGCCCGGTAGCCCGTGCCCGGGACCGCTGGCCCTCGACCGACCCAGGAGGGACTCCGAGGATGCGGCCAGCCTTGAAGAGACGAGGGCCGGTTCTCTCAGCCCGATCTCGGTGCACAGCGGACCATCCGACATGAGCCTCAGTAACAACACCGGCGGCGGCACTCCCGGTGGCGTGCTGCCGTTGAATCTGCCGCAGAGCCGGCTTCCGTCCCCGCACAGTACCGAGCCCCTCGCCGGCCCGTCGGGCTTACCCCCGGTCCAGCAAGTTCCGCTAGTAAGTAGCAACAAGATTCATTTTTTAGAAAAAATTCCATCTTGATCCAGGCAAATAGGATTTATCGAACTCAAGAGACTTGCAATATTTATTTTTGACATCTAGCAAGAAGAAGGAGTTAAAGAAGCTTAAGAAATTTAGAATAATCTTAAATAAATCTTTTATATGCATTGAATGATTCATACGTTAATTTGAACGTCATATATTCACGTAGAAACTTTAATATATATCTGCATATCCTGCTTGCCTAGATATTGATTAGAAAGTAAGTTGTTTAGCTTTTAATATACTAGCTATGCTAAGAATATTGATAAAATATCATTAATTATTACGTCGATATAATTAAACTTAAAATTTAAATTGATCAAAAAAATTCATAAATTGAACCATTAAAATTTTTTGTTGAGGATTATGAAATATGTTTTTAAAAAAATATTGATATATCACGTAGACACGAATTTGATAAAACTTTATCGCGGTGAGGATTTTCTTCTGCATTCACGAAAAGTTTAAATTTTTTTAACAAATAATATTATTACGGGAGATTTTATACGTACTTGAATTGACTCATTCATTTGTCAATTTTATCCTGCGATAGCTGCAAGACATCTCTGTGCACGTTCGGTGTTTCTGAAACATTGATGACCAACGTCGCAATTATTATGCAGAAAGAAAACCGACGAGATAATTTCGATGCTGGCTGTCGATAGCGTCGCGTGTCACGTGATCTCGATATCACTCGCGTTTATTGTAATATTTATTACCTGGATATAAACCGGGTGCACTTTTCCGTTGCAGTCCCTGAAAAAAGAAATGGACTGGGAAAGGTCGACGGAGGAGCGGAGCGCGAGTAGCGAGATATCCGCAGACTACAGACTCCCACCAGATCCGGTAAGTCTTCCCTTTTTCCGGCGAGCTATATATATACATATATATATATATTTCCAATTTATTATTGACTACTTTTTATTCTCGTATCCTCTCTTTGCTCTGCATTTCTATATACATATATATATACATATACTATATATCGATAAACGCCTCGCTCGTTCGCAATCGTCGGCAGGAGCCGCGCGTTGCGGATGAGACGACGATCCACTGCGCCAAGTCCCTTCAAGTTGCAATCGCAATTACGCGTTGCAATGCATTAATGCTACGTTCATTATTGTGACCGAATCACGGATCATTCGTGACGTGCTACCCAGTATGACGACAGACGCGACTTTGAAAGTATCGTCGATTTATGCATTATAAACGTTACTACTTCTTGCTTCACCCGAAAGTCCGACGGTGATTGCATACGCACGTACACGCGCGCACGAACGCGCGCACGTGTATGTGTATGTGCGTCGAATTCACTTTGCATGTGGGTCTCTTGCATGTGCCCAAGTGCTTTGCTGTTTGCTGCTCTCCCTGCTAATAATTTGATTAGAGAATTGTCGCGTTATCAACGACAAATTGCCGTAATCGTGAATCGGTGTCCAGAGGATCATGACCAATGATCCTCACAGAAAGCAGGATTCTCGTTCGTTCTTGCGCTTTACTTGTAACGATTTTTACCTGCCGACAGTAACCTTATAATAATCCACTCCTTACGATCGAGCTTTTTCATCTCGCGTTTCGACGCGTGAGATGCTTTCTAAAACTCTTCACCAGTTGACGACGCTCTTGTTGATTGTTCTTTTTGACGTCAAAACGTCATTTTAAATATATGTAACTTTTATTCGATAAATTATGTAATAATTTTTAACCGCGGTTAAATAATGTAAATATTCTGAAAATTTCTAATGGTGAACGAAGAAAAGAGAGAAGGATAGTGAAAATACACACATGAAACTGACGCGGCGAAGATATTAATATGATAAGATTTGAAGATTTTACAAAGAGAGGGAGTGTAAATATTAGATTTGCGACAAATGATTTATTGAATAGTTCTGTATAAATTGAAGACGCTAAATTAGCGAAATGTTCATGAAATACGACGCACATACACATAGACGCGAGAATGATTCTTCGTGTTTCCTAATTACCGAAATCGTTTAAAAAAATTTCCTTTCCTGAAATTCTTATTTGTGATATATCTTTTTATATCGAATTTTCATGTCGTGTGTTATATTCGTTTAAAAATCTCATCGAAGCATAATAAATAAGAGGAAACGAGATCGTGCATGCCCATCTACTGTGGCGAATATATCGTCATCTTTTTCCGAAAACTAATATCCACTGTCCGTTAGGGCAGAATAAAAGAAATAGGGAACAGATAATAAGAATTTCAACTTATTAGAAATCGTGTACTGCAGAATACACACTTTCTGACAGGTTGAAATTCTTATTCTCTATTCCATATTCCTTTTATTCTGTGCAGTCCGTCCCTCGTCTTCTCTCTACTTTCCGATAGATGCATACACGCATTCTCTGTCTTTCTCTCTGCCTCTCGTCTCTGCTCGGAAGTCCAGTTTCTCATCTTTATCGTTGTCCCGGTTTCTAAATACAGCTACAGAGACGTGAACTTTATTAGACCAAAGTGAATCCGATTATATCCGAGATTTAGCTCTTTAAATAGGACAATTTTCTAGAGTGACGCTCGAAACAGGCGTAAAGTGCATTAAAACGAAGAAGGGCTAGGTCATATGAAGAATTTCTATTTAATTAAAGAATACGAAACTTTCGTCTTCAGTTTCACGACTCTGTATATCTTTCACTATACCTCACCCTTCTCTCGACCCTTCTCTCTATCCCTTCAGCATTCTTCTGCTTGCTACGCGTGCAGCTCGCGCCAAGAGTGTACCACTCGATCGTAAAAGCTCGGCCCCTTCCGTCTGTGAATTCCATCCCCACGTGCTTTGAGGGGACCGAAAAAGTGCGCTCAAAGTCTGTCATGAACGAGAGAGAAAGAGAGAGAGAGAGAGAGAGAGAGAGAGAGAACGAGAGAAAGAGAGAGAGAGAAAGATGAAAAAATTGACATGCGAAAGAGAATACGAAAAGCCAAACAAATCCTCTCCCGTCCTGCCAGCCTGTCTTGCTAGCTCACTGTCAAGAAGTTGACCTTCGTTTTTGGCCATGATTGTTTTTTTACTACATTTATATATATATATACATAAATATATATACATATATATACACATACGTTATGTATACATCGCATATCGTTTGTACACTGTGGTATAAATATCTATATATATTTACATATATATTTTTTGCACAATATATATATATATATATTTATATTTATATATTTATACGTATATCTATATATATATATATATTGGCAGATTGTTGACATATTCATTATACCATTTGTTACTTTGTAATATCTGTATTTCAATTTGTCGTTTTGGTTGAGTGCAATGCCTTTTGCTACGGCGAATAAAATTTTGCGGCGCGGCACATATACGCTGCGAGTACGATAAAAGGGAGGAGGGACGAGAGGGGCGGGTTGAGAACGAGGCTGTGGGGGTTGTCATGGGCCCGTATACATATATATCTGTTGCTATATTATATCTACGTATATATATTTATCCATTTATTTATATATATGCAAGATGTCTCCCTCGAAACTATCGCCGTTCGTTTTTTTCATAGATTTCTTGATCAATTTGGAGTCGATCTTTCATTAAAGTTAATTTTATATACCACGTTTCTCTTAGTAAGCTCAATATAATTAGTCTGAAATCTCTTTGTAAGCCTCATAATAAGATTCCAGCAAAGTCCATTTGAAATTAACTAATCAATCATCTTTCGATACTTATTTTCTGATTGTGAGATTTACTTTATCGTAAATTGTTCGGTTTTGTTTGTAGATCAATTTACATGAATAATTAAAATGACTTACTTATGATTAATATTTCTATTTACATCTCCGAATTGGTCAAAAAATTCATATGTAGAAGGAATGGCGATAACTCGAGGACACCCTGTATACATATATATGTTTATACATTGTAACACTCTCGAATAGTTTGTCATACATGTGCCTGGGGTGCGCGGCGCGCCAAACAAAAATGAGCGTCAACTTCTTGTGAATACCGTCTTGTGTGCTACCGAGAAGCGTTAGCTTCTCGCCACGCCGGAGACACTTTCTCCTCCGAATGAATGGAATTTATGAATTAGAACACTGAAAGAAAGAAAGATAGAGAGAGAAAGAATAGAGAGACAGAGAGAGAGAGAAAGAGAGAGAGAGAGAGAGGACCTCTTTTAGTCGCAACACGTGCTTATAGTAGTGTCAAGAGAACGAGCTTGCCTGTACTTTCTTTATTTCTTTTTTTTTATCGAAAATTTAGATGCATTAGAAAGAATTAGTAATCAAAGGGAGAGAGAAAAAAGGGAGCACGATACGAAGGACATCTTATTTTTTTCTTGTTCTTCAAGTTAACCGTGGCGCTCGTCTGTTACTGAAACGACGCGCTGCGGTATATATATATGTATATGTATATACACATATATATGTATGTATATATACATATACACATCGTATATCTATATGATAGACATATATACATATATGTAATATATGTGTGTGTGCATCTGTGTATCCTGCAGATCGAGTAGTGTCGGGGCGAACCGCGCGTTATTGCGATATACACAGTAGTATAGTTAATACAATTAATATTAACGTATTGCCAGAATATTTACGGGACTAGGCCAAAAAAAAATTAAAAAGAAAAAAATAGTGCAATAACTCAAAGTAGATTAAAATAAAGAGCCAAAGAGAGAGAAAGATGAGAGAAAGAAAAAGAAAGAGAGAGAGAGAGAGAGAGAGAGAGAGAAAGAGTGAGAGCGAGAGAGAAAGATGGAGAGAGAGAGAGACAGAGAGAAAGAGATTCAGAGAAAGAGAGAAAGAGAGTCGGAGATAAGTCTTTCCCGCGGGGGTATAGAGCGCCGGAGGGAAGACAAGAAGTTGATGTTCTTGTTTGTTTGGTTGCAGGAGTTGATGGGTGTGGATGAGCGGGTGTTTGCGTGCATGTACTGCGGTGCCTCGTTCCTCCACCAGAGCAAGCTGACGCGGCACATCCTCTCGCACAGCCTCGAGTCGCTCAAGTACCGCGAGCAGGCGGCCCACCTGCAGCTGCAGGCTCAGCTGGGCCTCGAGCCCGGCATGCATCTGCCGCCGGAGGCCCACTACCCCGCCGCGGGTACGATTGAGCCGATGGACTTCGAGCTCGCGGCCCACTCGGACCCGACCTCCGGCGTCGTCCTCTGCAAGTTCTGCGGCAAGTCCTTCCCGGACGTCGGCTCGCTGATCGCTCACCTACCGGCGCATACCGGCGACCGGCCGTTCAAGTGCGAGTTCTGCGGTAAGGCGTTCAAACTGCGCCATCATATGAAGGACCACTGTCGCGTGCACACCGGTGAACGGCCGTTCCGGTGTACGCTGTGTGGCAAGACCTTCTCGAGGTCGACGATACTCAAGGCCCATGAAAAGACACATTACCCGAAGTATGTGCGCAAGTTCCTGTCCCCGAGCCCCGTGGACCCCTCAGAGGAAGAGGCCCCGCCGCCGCCACCGCCGCATCATTGAGTTCGCCTTAGCCTCAGCAACAAAGATCGCCGCCGCCTCCGCCGCCGTCATGCCACCGCCGCCGCCACCGCCGCCGCCGCCGCCACCGCCACCACCACCGCCGTCGTCGTCGCCGATCGCGCGAACGGACAGGCGACGACAACGATGGTACCGTCCCCGCTTCCGGTGCCGCCGCCGTCGCCGCCGTTGTTGTTGCCGCGACGTGTCCCTTCGACATCGTTCCGCATCCGCACACTCTGCCCTACTCCTGCCCCGCACGTTCCCCAATTCTCCACCAGTATCACCCATCTCCTCTTGTCCACCTGCTGATCGCGCGCGCGTCGCGACGCGCGACTCTCCCCGCGTTCAACGGTCCCAATAATCGAGCGACGGGGCAAAGAAGCCGGCGGTGTTTCTAGTTAGTCCTGTGATTTTGGTTAGGATGGTTGGTAAACGCGTGTTCAGGGGGAGGGACACGTTAATAACGAGCTCCCTCGTTTAATCAGTGCTTTAAGACGAAACGTTTAGCTTATTATATACATATATAAATATATATATAGATATATATATATATTATAAATTATACGTATATATATATCGATAAATTATTAAAGGTATATATATACATATATACACGTACACACACTTACACACACAGACATACATATACGAGCGACATGGGGTTAATTAAAGAAAAGTTAAGGGAGGGTGGGGGAAAACGGGCAAAGCGACACGGAACGAGAAGGGTAAACGGGGAGGGGGCGAAGGGGTGAAAATTTGAGCCGCCACGGTTGGTGCTTTTAAGAGATTTTGATAAAATGCTGTGAATATTATATTGATTACGATTAACTATAAACTATTGTAATAATGTACTGACGTTGTACGATGTACGATGCGACTGTTGTTGATATGATTGAGAATATTTTATACAGTTGACACGGGGGGGGAGGGGTGGGTTGGGAATAGAATGCGAACGCGATGTAGACGCGACCGGAAGTCAAAGGGTGGGTGGGTGGGTGGGTGGGAAAAATCGGGAGGGGTAGACAGGATACGTCCACTTAGTGAAATTCTACGCGGTGCAATTCGACTCGGTGGACACGCGGTTTATAAATTCATAATAGGAAAAAGTAAGAGAGAGTGAGAGAGAGAGAGAGAGAGAGAATTTATTACGAGTGCGCTGGCATTTTGATGGCCTCTTCGATTAACTTTTGTTCCTCATTTTTCTCCAAGATGACATCACCTTTCTTCGCGAGTCGACGGTTAATCATGGACACATCTGACACGCGAAACGACGCGAACGGCATTATACGCCGCGACGAGAACGCCGATCGACTCCCCGCACGTTTCGCGGTGTCAGAAAATCCTACGTTTTTTTTCACGGCCCACGAAACTCTCCGTCGTGCGTCCTTCCGCGAGTTCGCGCGCAGACTCGTCTCGCTGCAACGGAGATTCGGGAAGAAATCGAGCACGCGATTCCCGCGTCTCGCGAGGCACCTCTCTCGGACATCGTTTTTCCGGCGCAACGTTTTTCCTCGCTTGTGAATCCGAGAGTCACGACGAGTGCGCGACGACGCGCGGCTTGGCCATTTGAGACAGTGCAATACCTGACTACGCGACACACTACTACGCTACTTCTTTTTTTTATTATTTATAGTTTTAATTCTTATTTAACGTTATTTACGTCCTTAAGTAAGGTAGTTAGATAATCCAATCGCGCGTTGAGACTCGATCTTCGGGCGACGTCCACCTTTCGTTCCACTCGCGAGCTCGTTTTTATTTATTTATAGTTCCTCGGTCGTACGGGGAGACACCCAGAGGAGCGTGTGTTTCTCGAAAAAAAAACCGAGGATCCCACGTGTGGATTTCATCTTCGTGGTGCGATTCAATGGTTATACGGAATATCAAAGTTAAATGCGAGCGAATCAAACACGTTACCGCGATACCGCAAACCTCCGCAATACAGATCGATATAATACAGGATGTTCGGTAATTGGCGTGTTCCCTAAACATTTCTGCTGGAGTACCGCATCGAAATTTGCAATTTGTCAGCTTTTAACAAGAAATGTCTCAATTCAAGAATGTCTTAACTATCAATTTGTCGAAGTTTCTTACATTTTTTTTCAGTCAGATACACGGAAAGATCGGTTTTGCCGTGAGGTATTTAAAAATTTAGCTAGATTAACAAAAAAATTTTTTGGACTCATTAAAATAATTATGTTCAACTTGTTGTTAGAGAGTCAAAAACTTTTTGCAGCATTAAGCGTTCTGCATAATTATTTTGATGGTCCAATAAAATTATTTTCAGATTTGTACATAGCTAAATTTTTAGATATCGCAGCAAAATTTTTTTCCACTCTTTCCGTGCTCACTTTATGACAATATAAAATCATGATAATAATTCAAAAACTTTTTCAAGGAAAAAAATCATTTGATCGTCGCGTTCACGATTATTGGCTCACGCCGGTTACCCTATATCCCGCGTATATTGTCCGCGTTATGCACAGTGATCCCCAACGTCCGAGTGATACGAGAACCAGTATTCGAGGTACATACTTTTGTTTTCCTACTAGGTAAGGTAAGGTAGGTAATTAGCGCGCACGCAAGTGGCCTGTGCGAGCAGACCGACGGTTTTTTTTCGGAAAACGAACGGGACGACCGTCGTCGGTGGTAGCCGGCGGACGGATTCGATTCCTCGAAGGCGAAGGTACAAACATAATTCCCATTGATTTCTCTCCCGCCCCACTGTCCCCTCGCGGGGCAATTTAATTCGGCGCGACACGCGAGTGTATACGTGTATACGCGAGCGAAAAACAGCCGCGCGTCCTCTTCGCGGATCCTCGAAAACGGTAAACACACTATCGGTGGCCGGGAGCGATGCGATTGCATGCGATTGCAGGCGAGCGCGCAACAAGGCTCTTTTTCCCGGCCTCTTCCTCTTAAGCGATTCGATGAGCGCATTGTATATTTAGCAGCCACTTACTTTCCGTCGCTCTCCTTGCAAGGGCCTTCCCCTATTCGCCCTTCCCTCCTCCTCCTCCCCGCCGAGCTTGCGGAGTCGCTCGAAATCGATCGATCTCTGAAATATTCATCGCATTCCGTGCGCGGGGGCCTGCGGAACGGCACCGAAGGAATCGCCTCGCGCGGAGAGTCGGAAGGCTTCGACGATACACGCGTCCAAGCCGACTTCCTCGGTCTCTCCTTCGAATCGCCACGAGCAGCAGATAATCTCTTAACAGTTGACCCTAGAATGCGGAGCCGCGTCTCATCTCCGATAAACGCGTAAAAATACTGCAGATGCGTATACACACACCTCGGAAAAGTGTTTATATCCGTGCCCCGCGTCGCATGCGAAGGGTTGTTTTCGAAACAAATTTCGCGCCAGGCTATTTTCATGGTGACTTAATTTTAATGGCTTTAAATTCAATTTTAGCTGAAACGTAGCTTTTCAGTTATTGGATATGTTATTTTTAATTATTGGAGGTTACATGAGAATCTAAAATTATTAGGTACGTATGTGTTCCTAATTTACTGTCGTACGTTTTTAGCGGCGTACTACGCTGGGCGTGCATGAATTTACTTCGTTTTCAATTCCTTTCCTAGAATCGGCGATAGCGCGACGCGCAGTGCGCAATCGGTAGAGAAATGATTTTTAAAGCTGTGATGAGACTATACGAATTTTTGTTTCTATTCGGACGTGCGATTCTTATCGCGCGTACCCCCACGAGTATCGATCGTTTTTTCTCACTTCATTTTAAAATCGACGACGTCTACGTCTCCAGCGGTGATCACGATCTCTGCGATTTCTGTGATATTTCGCGACTGCATCTCGGCTATTTTATTAGCGCGCAATGCACTCTTGTCACTTATCGTCTTACATTCCATCGTTCTGTCGTAGTCTTTAATCTCGGAGATTTAATCTCTAAGATGCTCTCGTCTTTTTTTCTTTTCTTGTGATTTAATTGTGATCTCTCTCTCGAGCGGCGTTAAACTTAATACACAAATGTTGACAACTCGGCGGTTCAATTCCGAGTTATTGAAAATTGCCCTAACGAAAAACGCGCATTTCACCTTCGGATCTGCGCTTGCTTTACTTAAATCCTTCGAATGCGCAGCACGATACACCCTTGGGAGACGTAGACGCGAACGGAAGTGTGTTCAAAGGTGAAATACTTCCGTATTTTAAGTAGAAAAAAATTTTATTCTGTTGTACAAAAATATAAATCTTTGATTATTTATTTGAAATCGAACACAAGCGTGATTTATTTCGCACCCGTGTGAAAACAAAGGGATAACATTTTTTTTTAAGTATTGCGCGTATCTATCGCGCGAATTAATTTGTTTCGACGGACAGAAGGATGAGAGTTTCATTCTACCAGCGATATACGGATCCGGCCGGTCCCTCGAGAGCGCGTAGCTTTAATTAGAATATTCGTCCAGCAAATCGGCATTCCTCTGAAAACGGGATTTTAATTAATATTTACGAGTGACGGTGCCGTTAATGACTGGCAACCGAGAGGGTACATTGAAATGAAAGTCCCGCCGCGATTCTGAACGAGCCTGATTAGAGTTGGCGTTTGGCAAATGGATCATAAAGTTTCCAAATACCGTATCAAAAATGCTGTCAGCGGGTTGTAAATTCCGGAATACGATTAATTAAATCCTCGCGCAACGCACGGCATTACACAACGGACGGCGACGCGTCCGTCCGTCCATCCGCTCGCGGTATTAAAATAATGATATCGCGAATTAAACATACGCCGCGCTTTCTCTCTCCATAAACTCGTAACTCTGTACTCGAGTACAGAGAGCCGGGCCATCTCTATCGTACGATTTCGCGAGTTCCTCGTGCCTCGACATCATTCCGCATTCACATGTACGTTCATTAACTTATTCGTATTTCGCAACGTAAATTGAATTTCTGGCCAAACAGAATGAGAGTATCTCGCGTGTATTTTTACGTAACAGCTAACCGATAAATGAAAAAGGACAATCAGAATTTTGTTCTAATCGATCGATTCTAG